CGACTACCTTGCCTACCAGCCCCATAAACAACGTCGGTGGTATTGTTATGGAAAAGGCGGCCGGGCGGCCTGGTGGTGAGCGCCTGCGGTGGAGTTTTCATCTCCCGCAGAAATGTACGGCCCATTCAGCTCGCAGGCCCCCTAGAGCCAGAAGCACCGGGCGGGTTCCTCCCGGCTAGAAGTGGAGGTGCAGCCTGGGTCCCGGGCGGCAGCCACATCTGCCTAAGCAGCGTGCGAACAGCTCCCGTGAATCAGACGCTCCAGGAGTTTAAGTCACGGGAGGCAGGGCTTGCTGCGAGAAGCCGGCGGTACAGCGAGGCTGCGCTGTGCTGGGATGCGAGCCCATGAGCTCTGCGGACTCCATGTGGGGAGATGTGTGCCAGCTGATCCGGGGGATCCTCCCACGCCGAGCTAAGCACCTGCTGGATCCTTGCTGCCACGTGCCCTGACCGGGAATCGAACTGGCGACCTCCTGGTGCATGGCCGACGCACAACCAGCTGAGCCACCGGCTGGACGGCGCTCCCACTTCCGACTGTGCTCCCCACAGAGGGACTGGTCATCCACAGCGACTTCCGTTCAGCTCTCAGCAGGGGGTGGCATTTGCCAGGTGTGGTGTACGGGGGCGGGGGGAGGTGCTTCCCCTCATAGCCTTAAGCACACCACCCCCCATTAGGAGGCCCGAGGGCCTCTACGCACGAAGTCTGTGCTGACTTTCTGTGACCTTGTTTAATCGGAAGAAGCTTCATTATCACGGGAGGGGGGAGGGGTGTATTTCTTCGAGTTGGGGATTGTCTGAGGTTCCTCCATCTGCAGCTGCATGGCGTGCACAGGGGCGTCCGTACCTGGCCCCACACCCACCTGCGGCCAGAGGACGCCCTGGCACTGGAACATCCAGACGTGGGCCGTTCCCTTCACATCGGTTTCTCCAGAAGCACCTGCTGCTGTGGTTCAAAACCTTAAAAGAGCCCCCCAAAAACCCAACCACCCCACCCCATTCTGCCCGGCCGGTGTGGCTCAGTGGTTGAGCATTGACCTATGAACCAAGAGGTCAAGGTTAGATTCCAGTCAGGGCACATGACCAGGTTGTGGGTTCCATCCCCAGTAGGGGGCGTGCAGGAGGCAGTGGATCGATGATTCTCTTCATTGATGTTTCTATCTCTCTCCCTCTCCCTCTCCCTTCCCCTCTGAAATCAATAAAAATATACTTTAAAAAAAAACCCCATCCCATTCAGTATTGAATACAGTTTCAATCAAGGCTTTAGTGAAAGTAGGTAAAATTAGCACCATCGACAAGAACAACAATCAACAATGCCAGGGACTGAGGGTGAAGGAAGGAGGGGCGACAAATGTCGCCAGGGCGGCTTTTAAACTATCCTAGCGATTCAAGGAACTGGCTGTGCTGCTCCTGCATAGTTAACAGATATTCCCGAGGTGACCAAGGAGGAAACCTGTTTTTCTTTTCTCCAGTTAGGCGGAGGGAACGCACTCTCACCCTGCTGCAAAGGACACGCTTCCTAGGAGCACACCGGGCAACATCCCCCGGCGGCCTCCAGGGGGCGCTGCTGGGCTCCTCCTAAGACTGAGGAGAGAGCCCTCAAAGGCCGTCTCAGTAGAGGCTCCTCCGCAGGGAGCTGATCAGATAATGACCACCTGGGAGAGCCAGCTGACTCCCCCAGGGCTCTGCAGCCTTCCCGGCCCCACAAGCAGCTTCACTAACAAGCTTTAACTGGTACGGCTGAGCACTGTCCGTGTGCAGGGGGCAGTGTGTGTGTGTGTGTGTGCACGGGCGCACACATACATTCCTATAGAGCAGTGGTTCTCAACCTTCCTAATACAGTTCCTCATGTTGTGGTGACCCCCAACCATAACATTATTTTCGTTGCTACTTCATAACTGTAATGTTGCTACTGTTATGAATCGTCGTGTAAATATCTGATCTGCAGGATGTGTTTTCATTGTTACAAATTGAACATAATTAAAGCGTAGTGATTAATCACAAAAATAATATGTAATTATATATGTGTTTTCCGATGGTCTTAGGCGACCCCTGTGAAAGGGTCGTTCGACTGCCAAAGGGGTCACGACCCACAGGTTGAGAACCGCTGCTATAGAGCTTGCTGGATCGTTCATACTAAACTGCGTAGGCAGACAGCCAGAATGCTTTCTTTGGCCCTAATTAATAACAACATTAATAGGCAATTTTAAAAGAGTTCATTACATTGAATTGTAATTCATTATATCCAAGTATAAGATTATTACATGATATATAAGGTGTCCCCCCAAAATGTATACACCCTTTAACAGCTGATAGCTGTAGATTCTATTACATTTTGAAAATGAATGTAGTTTAATACACACTGCCTTTATAATGTGTACACAGCTTTTGGGGGGACACCTTGTATTTTATGCACTACTCACTTAACTGCTTTAATTATAATTTTGGTTAACATTTCTACAGTAACAAAAGGAAAATATCACATGTAACTAGTACATTACACCCACAGTCCGTCTCTGGGCGCTCCCAGTGTTAGCACATGGGACTTGGTGTCAGCGGGGCCAGGTTTGGGCAGGACGCCTGGACTCTCACGTTCTCGTGCGGATGGACCAGACCCTCCTGGGATGAGGCCCGAGGTGGGCTTTCCCCAAGACTCGTGGGACCTGGGGCCAGAGAACGGTGAAGGCCCACACACTGTGCGTCTAAACTTGTGAAGTTATCAATGAAGCCAACAAGCCATTCAATAACACATGCTGGCTTCTACCTTGACAAACTTTCTTTTTAAAACATTTATTTTTATTGACTTCAGAGAAGGGAGAGGGAGATTGAAACAGTAATGATGAGAGAGCATCATTGATTGGCTGCCTCCTGCATGCTGCACACTGGGGATCGAGCCCACAACCTGGCCATGTGCCTTGACCAGGAATCTAACCGTGACCTCCTGGTTCATAGGTCAACGCTCAACCTCTGAACCACACGGGCCAAGCTAAAGTTTTTTTTTTTTTAATGTATTTTTTGCTGTTAGAGAGGAAAGGAGAGAGAGCAGCTTTTGTTTGTTGTTCCACTTGTTGGTGCCGTCGTGGGTGACTCCTGGGCAGTGAGGCAGGTGTGGGAGGGGCTGCCTTGCTGAAGGTAAGACATCAGTTTATTTTTGCTTCTGCTGTTGACCACACCATATTCTTTTGATCTCCCAATGTTTCCAAATGATGACAATACCCAAATCACAGCTGACGGGGATTAGATTTTCATTTACTGCTCACCCTGTATCCAAGCCAACTGAGTGAGAATATCTTCACAAATCTGTGTTTTTTTGTAGTCTAATTTTCCAAGCCCCAAAGGACCCAGCTCCCCTTGAATCTCAGACACTGAGTTAATGCTGTATGAACTCACTGAGTGTTTCAGTTTCAATTAGCATTCTTACAGCGCCATTCAGTCTTGCAAATTGCTGTCAGCCGGGACTGAACCGCTGTGCTCTCCAGCATATCAGGCATGAGGCGTGAGAGTTCCACTGCGGCTCCTGGGTGGTGCTGCAGCTGCTGTCACCCGCAACTCCCCCATCGGGGAGACTCCAGAGCGGCGGGGGTGGGGGTGGGGGACGCCTCTGCTGGCCAAGCACACCAAGGCTGCGCCGGCCCCTTTGGGGGAAGTGGGTGGTGTATTAGCCCTGCATATAAATCACCAACAACTGGAAATTGACTCCAACATCACAACATGTACTACAGACCTTACCAAGTTTTGCCAGTTGTCCCTCTAATACCTTTTACACAAAAGAAAAACCTTTAAAAAATGTTTTTTTATTGATTTTTAGAGAGAGGAAGGGATAGGGCTAGAGAGCTAGAAACATGGATGAGCTGCCTCCTGCACGCCCCCTGCTGGAGAGCAAGCCTGCAACTAGGGCATGTGCCCTGATTGGGAACTGGACTGGCGACCCCTTGGTTCATGGGTCAAAGTTTAACCACTGAGCCACACCAGCCGGGTGAAAACCCTTTTTCTTGGTCCAGGATCCAACTGCAGGTCACAGGTGTGGTGCCTCTTTAGTCGGGAACCGTAGTTGCTTCTGCTTTTCCCTGGCCTGGACTTAGGAGAATGAAAGCCAATTGCTTCTAGCCTGTACCTGACCTGGCGTGGACTGCTGTTCCCTTCTATTCGCATGAACGTTTTTGGGAGGACTCCCCGAAAGCAAGGCTTCCTCCGCCTCACTGCACCTCACTGCACAGAGCACCTGTCTCATAGCCGGCAACCCTGTCAAAGGCACTCTGAGTAGGAAAACGGAACCCGTGTGATTGTTAGTTCTGTGAGGTCACGATGGAATGTGGTGACACCTGAGAAAATGGCACTTGTCTGTGAACGATGTGGACATATTGCAGGGAAAGTGAACTTATGTGGCTTCACATCCATTTCTAGGGAGTTTGCAACTCCAGGCAGCAGGCGTTAACGGTGACATGGTCACTCGTGACTGTTCTGAAACAGTGCCCATCTGTGCGCCACCCGCATGGCCCGGCTCCTTGCCTCCGTGGCTCCCCGTCGGGCCTCCGCCCTCCAGGTTGCCCAGCGCAGGCATGAAGCATGTGTGGTCAAAACTGTGACTTCCTGGACGAAGGGAGAGGGGTGGGGGTGGAATTGGGGGGAAGGCGCTGAAGACACTGGCTGAAACCTGGCTTATAAATAATCTGAACATTTCATTTACTTTTAAAATATATTTTTATTGATTTCAGAGAGGAAGGGAGAGGGAGAGACAGAAACATCCATGATGAGAATCACTGATTGGCTGCCTCCTGCACACCCCCTGCTGGGGAGCAAGCCCGCCGGCCCACAAGCCAGGCATGTGCCCTGACCGGGAATCGAACCGTGACCTCCTGGTTCACAGGTCGAGGCCCAACCACTGAGCCATACGGCCGGGCGAACATTTTATTTCTTTGTGATGTGCATGTCCTATCACAGACAACTGGTCTCATGAAATGAGACCAGGTGCGCTGGTTACATAGTAAAACTTCAGAGTAAAAGATCATTTTTCAGTTTATTTTGGCCAGGACGCATCCCTGGCTGGGGCTCCGGTTCACACTCCCGGCTCGTGTCAGCCCTCCCAGCCCCGCGGCAGCAGCTGGTTCAGGACGCTGCTCTGCCTCAGCGCCTGGAGCTGGGACGTGTCCTCACTGATGACGGTGACGCCCCTGCTCTGCCCCGGGGCTGACAGGTCGCCCTCGCTGTCGGACAGCGTGCACAGCAGGCCGTCGTTCTCGTAGGTGGGGAAGTAGTACCTGCAACACCAGACAGGCCTCACAGACTGCACCTCACCCAGCGACCGTCCAGGCCGCGCAGGCACGCGGCTCCATGGGTTTCCTCGCCACAATCTCCACAGCACAGGCTGTGAGGAAGGCCCTTCTGAGGGACTCAGCGTGACCCTTCCTGCCGCACGTCTTGCTAGGGTCCTCGCTGGTTTTCTACATAAAGACAAGCTCACTGGGCCAGAGGCCGCCCCTCCACCTCGGGCAGCCGGCCAGGCAGCGCCTCCCCCTCCGAGGCTGAAGCTGACATCCCTCCTCCCTCCTCAAAGGCCCCGCTCTCCCCGACTGGGTAGCAGCCTTCAAATACAGCTCCTCCCTCACACTCCATCTGCTAAGATCTGATGAGAACAACGGCTTTCCCTGTTTCTTTCCCAGCCTAACCATTACTGGTTCCTTCATTCTAGGTGATAGTAATCTAATTAACAAAAGCGTTATATGCTAATTAGACCAGACAGCAGGACGACCTTCTGAAGCCGGGGCTGTGAGGGCCGAGCCCCTTGCACAAATTTTGTGCATTGGGCCTCTAGTCTATATATATAAAAGCCTAAGCAACCATCTGACCGTTAGCTATGACATGCAATGACCACCAGGGGGCAGATGCTCTGATCTGTAGCTATGATGTGCACTGACCACCAAGGGGCAGACGCTCAATGCAGTGACTTGGCAGCTGCAGTTCTCGGGTGATGCACCCGGAACCAGAGAGGAGGAAGCCCAATTCTTGGGTGTGTCACCCAAGAACTGCCCTCTCGTAATCTGGGACCCCTTGGGGGATGTTGGAGAGCTGGTTTCGGCCGGATTCTCGTAGGCCAGGCCGAGGGATCCCACCGGTGCATGAATCCGGGCACCGGGCCTCTAGTAATAATAACAACAAAGCTCTATGGACGTTTGCAGGTCATGCTGGGTCCTTGTCTGGACACACCTGTGGTCAGTTCTGGGGCACCTCAGAATGAGAATTACAGGAACAAGGCACCCGGTCAAGCCACACACCTGGGATGTGTGGGAAAACCAAAGCCTTTGTGTTAAGGAGGAAAACCTGTCCTAGAGCTTCCTGGCCAGAGTTCTGGGGGATCTGATGGAACATTCCCTGGGAACAGAGGGACCTCCACACAGCCTCTCAGGCCACCTGACCGCGTCACTCACTCGGGCTGGTCCCAGGTCCTCCTGTCGGGGAGCAGGGCCGCGTGCTTGGCCTCCACCAGGTGGGCCCCCAGGTCGGCCCTGGATGGAAACCTGGTGCAGCAGCCGTAGCATCGGCCTTGGTGAACCTGCCGTCGGATGAAGTTGACCAGCTTCACTTGCTCATAGAAATTCAGTCCTGAGGGAGGCAAGTGCAGAGTCACCCATGCACTGTTACATACTGTTAACACAGGCCCGTCTATAACACACACGTGTCTACAACACACACACCTGTCTATAACACAGGCACGTCTGTAACACACACGTGTCTACAACATACACACCTGTCTATAACACAGGCACGTCTGTAACACACACGTGCCTACAACACACATACTTGTCTATAACACAGGCATATCTGTAACACACACGTGTCTATAACACACATACTTGTCTATAACACAGGCATATCTGTAACACACACGTGCCTACAAGACACATACTTGTCTATAACACAGGCACGTCTGTAACATAGGCATGTGTTTATAACACACACGTGTCTGTAACGCATGTGTCTATAACACACGTCTATAACATGCACGTGTCTATAACAGGCACGTGTCTGTAACACACATACACGTGTCTACAGAAGCACCACAGCACAGTCACACCCGGAGGCGGGAGGGAGGCTGCTGTGTGCGAGGCGAGCTTTTCATGGTCTGGACCCATCAGCAAGCCCTACTGTGTGTTCAATGCCTGAATCTTTCTGTCACCGTGATCCTGAGAACCAGGCACGGGCGCTTCTATGATGGCGAGTCCAGCTGCACCCCAGCAGCACGAGGTGTCTTGTGTACGTCGCCCACGCCCTGTCCCGTTCGCCCAGCAGGCCGGCAGCTGGACTGGGACCGCTGCTCGGCCTCTGGCAGACAGTGACCATTACCCTGGGTCCCATGAGAAACTGTCACATATGCGGGCAAGGGGAAGGGACCACCTGAGGCCAAAGCCCGTCTGTGAACACGGAGTCCGGCAGCGGGGGGACCGTCTGCGGGGACGAGGTGGCCGTGCCCCTCCCGTCACGACCACGGAACCAGCGTGTTCATGGACGGCCGGTAGTGGCGCAGCACTGAGTTCGACTCACCGAGCTCTGCCTTTGTTCTGAGGAGGTCAAATCCGTGCGCCTCCTGGAAGAAGGGATGGGGAGAGCTGAGCAGGGAGGTACTCGATCTTCCAGCCGGTTCACAGGAGCCTCACACTGAGGCCCTGTCCTCGGCGTCTGACGTCTTGACATCCGGCTACTCCCCGACTCCACACAAGCCCGCCAATCAGGCGAACCCATCACCCGCCCGCCTGCAGTCTCTGCAGTTCACTACATGGGACGCAGCGTGCGAGGGAGACGTGGCCTCGCGTCCCGCGTCGGGATAGAGCTGTGGACACGGGCTCTTCTCCATGCAGAGGTGCTTTGACACACTCTGCTCTTCCCTTCATGCTGTCCCTGACAAGCCGGCCAGGTTCTCCTTATGCCCTCTTCCCGTAAAGCACTTAAAACGCTTCATGGTGCGGCCGCTTATTTTATTCTATTCCATCCCTGTCACGTCCATCGGGGTAAATGGTTGAACTTACAAGCGCACAGAGTAAAGGCCACCTCACCCTGATCATCCAGGGGCCCACAGGCAGGACGATGGGGCTCCCTGACAGTCGTCACTGAAAGGGACTGAGCAGAGGGTGGGGGCTTGGGTCAAAGAGGCTGCAGAGGGGACCCCCACACAGGGCGGGACACAGCTGCTTCTAGTTCTAACATGTCGGACATTGTGAATTACATGTGCACGGACACCAGTGCACACAGGGACCAGTGCACACGAGACCAGCGCACACGGGGATCTGAGCACACGGGGACCAGTGCACACGGGGACCAGCGCACACAGGGACCAGTGCACACGGGGACCTGTGGATTTGTGCACATGGGGATCTGAGCACACGGGGACCTGTGGATTTGTGCACACGGGACCAGTACACATGGGACCTGCGTACAAGGGACCTGTGCACATGGAAAACCTGTGCACATGGGACGAGTGCACACGGGGGTCTGTGGATTTGTGCACACGGGGACCAGTGCACACACTGCTGGAGGCCGGTGCAGAGAAGCGGCCAGTGCAGAGAAGCTGCTGTCTGCTACATCTGTGTGCGCCCGTGCCCTTCCTGGACCCGCCCTGTCCTTACTGTGCTGAGTAGTCTCTGACCAGGGAGTAGTGATGGGGGACAGGCAGTGGAGTTGCCTGTGGCACAGGTGGGCAGGGGCATGTCCGAAATCGCACAGCCGCACAGTCAGCCCTCAGCCCCGAGTCCAGCTGCAGTGCTGCCCTCTCTCAGGGGGTGTAGGGAGGGTCCTCCCCAACATGTCCTGGGTGGAAACAGGCTCAGAACCGCTTGCTTTGAGCTTCTTTATAAAGAAGGGAACACACACACTGGGGATCTCTGCTCTTCTCTCCAAATCCTTTCCCGAGGAGCTGCAAGACCACACCTGGGCCCGTCCCCTCCCCGCCCCACCCTCCATGCCCCCAGGCCGTGGGCACGAGGGCGTGGCCTGCCTTCCGCTTCCCCACACACTCGGGAGTGGAAGGTGCTCCAGGAACAAGGGTGTAACCTGGCGAGGCCTCGGTGTGGTCGCCTCCCCCGCGGAGCAGAACAGGATGAAATGAGCCATCTCACCTCCATGTGGGCGCACAGCTGCTCCGTCGTTTCCGCTTGCTTTTCACAGAACAGACACACGGCGGAGACGGGGACGGGCACTCTCCAGTCCGACCAGTCCCTGAGCCCAGCAGAGAAGGCAGACCCCTTCGTTAGGTCCCGTGGTGTATCTCCCTCGTCCCTCGGAAGCCGCCCGTCTCTCCCGCTCCACAGTTTTGGGGAGACTGTCTGTCTACACATCAATGAGGCTGATGCAGACTCCGACACGCAGAGCAGCCCCAGGAAGCAGCATGAGAGCCGGAGCCCCTGCTCCTCCGAGCAGCGACTTCCTGGGGACAGCGCCCCATTTCACGGTTTCACGGCGGAGGACACGTGTGGGGTGCGCTCATAAACACACCGCTGGGTGCATGCGCCCTGCTGGGTAGGTTTCCGCATGACAAATGGTGTGCTTTGAAAAAGCAAACTGTACCTCATACTGGAAATAGTGATCGCTTGAAGTAGGGCAAGTTGGTAGATGGAGAACTCAAAAAGCATATCCCCCCACCCCCATTTTTTACCATTTCCTCCTCTCCTTGCATTCATTTTTGAAATACTGCCAACCTCCTGTCATTCCTAAACCAGGACATCAAGCTCAGCCCTGAGGGAGGGAAACGGGCCGAAGGGCACTGATGAGAGCGGGGGGGTGGGGGTGGGGGTGGGGGGTGTTGGGGGACCCAGGACCCTTCCAGGCTGAGGGCCCGCAGCTTGGACTTCCCGCCGGCAGCCGTGTGTGTCCTCGGTGTCACCTCTGGGCTGAGCAGGCGACCGTGAGCCAGTCATCTCCCCAGCCAGGCCCTGGACAGCATCTGAGTGACACATGGCCAGCTTGTGCAGCCTGCGTACTGGGTCAGCAGCGCTCATGACCACCCCACTTGGCGGGGACACCGGCAGCGCAGTGGCTTCAGGGAGAGTCCTGCTGAGCCCAGTTCTTGCCGCACCACCTGCACGGCTGCCCGGCTGAGAGAAGGTGTCCCTCCTTCCTCCTGTCGTCCCCGGGGGCGTGAGACCAACCAGAGAACCGTCCCAGCTCCCCGAACACCACCCATCAGCAGCGACCCCGAGTCTTACTCTTCCTGCTGCTCCAGCAGCTCCCGGTCGTCTTCCGACTGAACCTCTTCCCATGATTTTCCAAGTTCCTTTGTAGGAGAAATAGGGATTAGAGA